ATTTTATCGGGACGTCTGGTCACCCTACTTCTCTCTGTAGCTGAATAGGTTTTTCTACCGAGATCCAGCCCCTCCCCACAACTATTCTATTCTATTCTATTCTACGTGGGTGGTTCTTATACCACACTCATCATCTAGGGTTACCATACGTCCGGATTTTCCCGGACATGTCCGGCTTTTTGGGCTCCAAATCCCCGTCCGGGGGGAATCCCCAAAAGCCGGACATGTCCGGGAAAATCGGGACATGTGGGGCTGGCGGTGCTGGGCCGGGGGCCGGGCTGGCCGGGGACCAGGCCGGCGGTGCGGTGCCGGGCCGGGGGCCAGGCTGGCGGTGCTGAGCTGGGGGCCGGGGGCCGGACCGGGCCGGCGGTGTGGTGCCGAGCCGGGGGCCGGGCCGGTGATGTCGGGCCGGGGGCCGGGCCGGAGGTGCCGAGCTGGGGGCCGGGCCAGCGGTGCGGTGCCGAGCCGGGGGCCAGGGGCCGGGGCCGGGGGGTGCTGAGCCGGGGGCTGGGCCGGGGACCAGCAGTGATGGGCGGGCCGGGGGTGCTCGGCCAGGGGCCCGGAGGCCGGGGACCGGCAGTGCTGGGCGGGCCGGGGGTGCTCGGCCAGGGGCTGGCCCGGGGCAGGCACCCCAGAGCCCGAGCCGACCCAGGCTGGAGACGCCGGGGGGGCCAGACTGGGCCGCGCCTCCTCCCCCCACAACCCCCTTACCTGCTTCAGGCTTCCCGCAAATCAAATGTTCGCGGGAAGCAGGGGAGGGGGCGGAGTTGGGGCGGGGGCGTGGGCGGGGCTGGGGGCAGGGCCGGGGCCCCGTGGAGTGTCCTCCTTTTGGAGGCTCAAAATATGGTAACCCTATCATCATCACAGTATCCCTTGTGGTTGGTGACCGCAGTGGCCACTCAGTGGATAAGCTGGCTCGAATTCAGAGAGCCAGGTGGTGGCTTGAGAGTAGCTTGTGGTAGCAGCCTGGAGATGGCTAGAGGGCAGGGCTGGTGCAACCTATTAGGCGGTCGCCTAGGGCTCTAGCATTTGGGGGGCGGCATTTTATTCGGCGGCGACCGCGGCGGCCGGATCTTCGGCCGCCCCATTCGTTGTCGGCATTTAGGCGAAGGGAGCTGGAGCAGAGGGGCGCGGGTAGGGCCACTTGCAGCAAGTAAGGTGGGGTGGGGAGCTGCCAGGGGGGGGCGCCGGGGGGGGGGGGGGGGGGGAGCTGCCGCAGGGCTTGGGGATGGGGGAGGGTGCAAGGTGGAAGTTTCGCCTAGGGCGCAAAACATCCTTGCGCCGGCCCTGGTGGTGTGTATGGCAAGGTGGCATGGCTGTTCTATAGAGGATGTTTAGGTAACCTTGAATAGTTAGTGCCAATATTCACCAGGCCTGCCCAGCAAGCTGATGGCAGTGTAAGAGGCGAATCTCTCCCCACTCAGCAGGTAGCAGGAATGGTTGTACTGGTAATTTACATATCACGGACCCTGTGTCCCCCATCACAAGGGGAGTTTTGCTGGATCATGAGAGCCAGCACTGGGTGAATAATTTATAGGGAATTGCTTCTCTTTTTCTGTCAGGTAGGATGGGATTTTCAAAAGTGCCTTGCCAATAGCCTAACTTTGCTCCCTTTGAAGTCAATGGGAACAGAGTTAGACCAATGCAGAGAGCTTTTGAAAATCCCACTGCCCACAAAGAGTTTGCACTGATAGCAACTCTTGGATGAGTGAGTGAACGGCGACCCAGACATCTACGTAGAGCAGGGATTAGTTTATAAATATAATTCAGACTAGCTCAGACTCCGAATCACAGTTTAACAAATAATCCACATCTTTATAGCCACCATTTAAGAATAAGAAATGTGCCCTGTTTGAAATCTCCTGGAGCTGGCACGGCGTGAGGACAAGTGCTGGTCAGAGCATTGCCTAAGATGCACAAGTACACGTCAGGAGGCAGAATCAGTGGGTGAATAAACTCCATTCATTTAAAAAAACCAAACGAATCATGTGACTTGATCACATGCATTTTAAAAAAAATAGATACACATATGCAAGGGCCTGGCCCGTGGACTCTGTCTGTGTTTCACAAAGACCAGGCCAGCACAGCATACGAAGGGGTAGTTTAGTCTCCTATTCTATCAAAGAGCATAAAAATGACTGTGGGACAGCAAGCAAAGATGCCAGCATCAGAGGTTGGAGGGAGAGAGGAGACTCATTCTCCCCCTGCACTATTTAATCAGGGGCATATGCCCCCAAATCTCAGTTTTCACTAAGGTTGTAACCCTTTTGGGTGCAGAGATAACCTTCAAAATATCACCAAAGCATTGGGGGGATATTTGGCAAGTGATTTATCCCAAAAGTCATGGGGGCTTTTGAATGGTCCTTGCACCACTACCCAGGGTGGGACTTTGGGGCTCCCAAAACCCTTGGCTTTTGGGATTGTGGTTTTATGGGGACCCCCTCTAGCAGGGCCGGTGCAAGGATGTTTTGCACCCTAGGCGAAACTTCCACCTTGCGCCTTCCCCCATCCCCAAGCCCTGCGGCAGCTCCCCCCACTCCTCCCTGAGGCGCCCCCCCTGCGGCAGCTCCTCACGCCCCCCTCTGCCCTGAGGCGCCTCCCCCATGGCAGCGCCCCCCCCGCCCGGGGAGCCATGCAGCAGCTCCCCAACCCAGCTCACCTCTGCTCCATCCCCTCCCCGAGCCCTGCGGCAGCTCCCCCCACCCCGCCTTGAGGCACCTCTCTCGCGGCAGCTCCCCACACCCCCCTCCGCCCT